TATATATATATATATATATATATATATATATATATATATATATGGGAAAATATCTTTGTAGACCCTATTTTTAGGTTTCATTTCTCTCTAGACTCATGGTTTCAAAACCTATCTTGAGATATAAAATTTTTATCTTTTAACCCCTTAAACTATTTTTAACCATTTTTATAGCCCAAATAAATTTAAAATAGACAGTTTTTTCTAAACCACATCTTTCTCACTTCACGTATTTGTCTTTCTTTGTCCCCGTAAACCTCCAAAACCCCTCTCTCTCCCTTACTTCCCCCCACCTCACAAGCCCCTCTCCCTCTGCCGTGACTTTCTTAGGATAATGACTTTCTTACGACCCTGTATCGATTATTTAAATAGGGTCTACGGACATATTTTATATATATATATATATAACTTCATATTAAAAAATAAATTTTATTCATGGTAACTTAAACCTGCCTATTACTTATTGAGAATAGAAAGAGAGAATAGTGCTTATTCAATAATGATTAGCTTGAGAAGGGGTTTGTGACCAAGCCCCATAAATGAAGTCTTCTTTCTCACCAAACCAAAAAATAGGGGCACAACTCCACAGTGATACAAAAACAAAAATAATAATAATAAATGCATATACATGAGTTGGTTGAATTATTGTATTTGTTTTCTTGTGTCCTTAGGGGCAGTCGGGATTTTTACCGGGTCCCCCATAATAAAAACTATTCCCATTACGATCCACGGTATAGCAAGTATAATGGTCTGTGAAAGTCTGATATTCCTCGAAGTCGTTGGTTGTGAGATCGGTATCATAACTCAATTGGTAGAAGGCACCGGCTCTCATGCTGCCCTCGCTCGAAAAGTGACCACTACCCATTTGCGTGCTCGTATGTTCTCCACCTGGCCTCGTGTTCTTCACTTCCCCTCCCCATTCAATCTTACTCGCCGATGATAAATTGTTCAGTATGGCTGCGGGCCAATACCCCATCGTAATGTCTTGCACTGTCAACCACCAATTGCTCGTCCTAATATCCTGCCAACAATTTCATTTGTATTGTCGGTCTCTCTATCCTGCGAAATTTTCTTTATCCGAGGTTTTGTTTTTTCTTTTTTTCTTATTTTGAAATAGACGACGAGGTGCATGCATTCCCCTTAAATACCTTTTTTCGGCTTTTCATAAGATAAGTATGTAACTGCTCACCATTACCCATTCTAAAGTCTAAACCAAAAACTTTGTTTGATTGAAAACCAGTGATGGGGTTTTGGCCCATCAGTTCAATTCCCTAAACGAAGTTGATAATTTTTTTTTAAAATATATTTTATATATTTGTAATCTACTACTCTTATTTTTCGATATATTTTTATAATATAGTCCAACTGGTTCAACCGTTAGTCGAATTATATTTAGTGAACTAAACCCCATACTGTATTCCGCGTAAACATCGTGTCGAGGACAAGTGTTCCATTGCACGAACCCGGCCATGGCCATGGGCCGGGTTCCAACCACATGAAACCGGTCAGAGTAACCAACACTAATTGTGCAGGTCATGTCAAAAAATTGAAATAAAATATCAAAATATCCCAAAAATTATAAAAAGTACATTTAAAAGATAATTAAAAAAAAAAAAAACATATCCAATTGAGAGCAAAGTTGTGCAAAATTGGATTTTTGAAGAATCATCTAGGAATATTTTAGAAATAATTAAATAGGATGAGAAACTAAAAAAATAAATATTTATGACCAAAATAAAACCCAACCCTTTCTAAAAGGATTGGAAACAATAAAAAACCTACTACAAAGAAATTTCTTATTGTTAAAAATTATACATATGTTTATTTATTTATTTACCCTAGCCAGCCAAAACTGTTGACTCGGCCGGTTTTGCAAAGACCACCTCCTGCACTAGGGCTTCATATTACCTTATGAATGTGTAGGGTTATAGTGGATTCTGCTACACCGTAGATTGAAACTGGACCGATTTCAGAATTCAAATAAACCAGGTCGGTTATTTGCACAAATCCTGGACATAGGACGTTATAGCATCCAGTACTGTTATAACCATCAACCTGAAACACCAATGAATCGTCAGTCAACTTCTCATGGATTTAGTGGCCCCAATTAATTAACTGACTGATTAACAGTTATAGGATTGGTTAGTGGATTGTCCAGTTCTTACTGTCCAATATATATAGAATCGAGGAAGTTGGTCACCTGTAAGTTCGGGATTCACCTGTAAAGGAATAATATATTCTCTTTATTTAATAGATGAGTCTCACGAACTAAAAAACAAGGGGAACAATAGTACAAAGGATACTTGATATACGTCTAATAAAATTATATAATAAAACTATTTAGCTTTGGTACAAAGTGGTCACAACAAATCTTGACCATTGGATGTGAGTTGGGTAGCTATATTTATTCTATTGACTAAATTTAAAGCTCAAAATAAATTCTCTTGAATTTTATAACAAACCCAAGCTATCTGATTTCACATTGAATGGTTGAAAATAATTATGACCTCTTTATAACAAAGATAAATAATCGGTCTCATTGCATACAATCCCATTAGTACTTAGATAAATAATGGACAAAACAAATAGACTAAAGGAAAAAACCAACTAAAAACTTTAAAAAATCAACACAAGTAATGGAGGGCAACATAAGTTTGGTAAAAGGGGAGAAAAGCGTGAGAACAGGAACATATTGTTCAACTATAAAGGGATACTATTAGTGCATAAGGGCAAAGAAATCATGTAGAAACGTGTAAAATGGCCATCTAATCTTTGTCTCTCTCTCTCTCCATAACTTTACGAAAAGAGATATATTTCCCCAAAGCCAAACTATTTTATTATAACGCGGGAGCACATCAAAATCTCAAATCGTAGGACGAAATTCGAAAACTAGGAAAATATTTATAGAATTATGAAACCCTCTCAAAAATCCAATGAAGTGATTAAATCAACAATTTTTCCAATAATGCTATTTTTAAAAAATATTTTAATATAAATGAGTCCTCAAGACTTGTTAAAAATACCCAAATTGCTCTTGTTTCGAGTTTGTAATTCAAACTGTTTTTTGGGAACGGTGAATTAAGTGGGCCCAAATTATCCAAATTCCCTTGCATGTTCCAGGTCGGAAACTAGGAAAATATTAATGAGAATAAGGTTTGAACTTGTAACTAGTATAGTTTTTAAAGGTCATTTGGTTCAATTGTTCAAAGTGACTCAATTTATCAAAATATGCCCTCACTTGTTCGTAGTTACGACCTAGAAATATTATCGGCATCTTTTGCGAAATTTCTTGAGGAGGTACCGAGATGAGGGGATTTTTAAAAGTAAGTATTTGGTTGGAAAATTTGTTGATTTAAAAATCTCATTGATTTTTTGAGTTGGTTTGATCGTATTAATGATATTTTCCAAGAAAATCATACAATACAAGCCTAAATTGTGATGTCCTAAAGTTATTTTGGATAGTAAACTGAGAGTTAATATCAATAATATGATAAAAAAAAGAAGGCACATACCGTATATCCTGCTTGAATAACAATTATTTGACTACCTTGGTCATTCACGACCCTAATTTGGGATTCACTTAACTCAGCAATGCCATCGACAAGCGGTTGCCATACAGCCATTTCTGCCCTAGCTCCAAAATATCTCTTATCATTAACGAATACAGTGGCGTGCTGAAAGTTTTGCTCACATTCATCATTAAACAAATAATTAAAGTAAACAAGAAAAGAACAAATTTGAAACATCTGCAAAGATTAACACTCTGGAAAAATAACCAAATGTGTACAAATAAGTATTCCATCTTAGAAAATAATAAACCAAATAATTAAAAAAGGATGAAAAATGTTTTCGAAATTCCGTAAATCTAAACGTAGATTATAACCTTTTAACCTACATCGTAGTCATTTGGTTCATCGTTATCATGACTTGTTCGGGAAAGTTGGTTTGATAGTGCCTTGACCATTATGATTCAAAACAAAAATTGGTTTTGGCTAGAAGCTAATCTAGCTACTTTTGAGCAGTTTGACTTGATCAATGAAGTTTGACAAACTGTTTTGTGGACACAATTTCCATGACTCATATGTAAGACTTATGTAGAAATGAGTTTCCTCTTAAAAATCCATTTTTAAGGTGTGATTTATAATATTATATAAGGTTGCATATTTAAACAATCGAATTGTGATGCACCTCCAAATTTTATTATAACGTGTAATTTTGGTGTAAAAGATTCTTAGAATTATTTGAAAATCTATTTTCATAACTAATTATAATACTTTAAACTTTAAAAATGGCTAAAATCAAGTAGATCTATAAACATATGAAAATCTTGAAAATAGATGGTCTAGGCAACGTGTTGCAAGATGCACTATTTCTGATACTCAATTAAATTTATTTTTTTTTTCATATTCATATATCTCGAGGACGGGATGATCAATTAGAGGGTTTTCAATATTAAAACAACCTTTTTCGATGGATTTTTGAAGTGCATATGTAATTCTACATTTTAAGGTTGCAACCCTATATACTTTTTTTGTTTTTGAAATGGATTTTAGACCTAACTTTGCAAGAATAGATAATATCGAATATGGAGAACATGAATATGTGAGAAATAATGATAATGATAATAAATTTTTAAAAACTGAAAATGAAAATTTTATGAAGAAAACATTTAGACCATCCTTATTAACTTTTTTTTTTAGGGACTACCCATTCGCCTCCATCTTTAAGGTGAATGACTTTTACCTAGGGGATGCATGTGTCCCCAACAATTTTCCTTCTTTCATATATTTTATATACTTCATATTTTTAAAAAAAAATTTAAGATCTTGTCTACCCGGTGGAACTAGCAGGACCAATATAGACTAAAGCGGACCTATGTGCAACAAGTAGTAGGACCAAATTTGACTGATGCGGACCTCTTTCCAATAGTTCAGTAGCAGGTTCAATCTTGAAAACCATGATTTGATTCTTGCTCGCATATCAATGGACCGCACTATGTGGCCCATTTGATCCAAAAATATTAAGAACTTTTTAAGGTTTTAATCATTTTGTGAACGAAGAACGTTGGTCAGTTTCATTGTTTTTCTCCTACTTCATTTTATAGGGCATATCCTGTTACAAGTGTAAAGGAAATGTTTACAGAGAAGCTAATAGTTTGGTAGACTTTCGGCTAAAAAAGGTGCTTTGTTTCCCTCTATTAATTTTTCAATAAATCTGATAATATTTGTCAAAAAAAAAAAAAAGTAACAAAGGACTATGCGGCACGTCTCTACAGTGTTGTACCTTAAAAACTATGTTAGGAGGACAAGCAGCATGTGGATTTTTTCAAACACCTCTTGACTCACTTTTTGATCAATTCCCCATAAAAAGGAAAAGAAATTTTCGGGCAAGCTTTCTATGCTTCTCTTGCAGCATAGAAGTTCTATCTTCTCCCTTATTCAACATTCCATTCTGAATGGTGGGATAAGATTGCCCCAATCACTATGTCACATCTCTATACTATTTTTATTTTTAATGTTTTTTTATAAACTATTTTGACACCAAATTTTGGATATCCATTCTTCTATTAAACTCGTATAGCGAAAAATAAAAAATATATAAATTTTCAATAAAATAAAATGACCAAAATACCCCTAAAATTTCAAGGGGTATTTTAGTCATTATATTTTATCAAAAAATTATTTTTAATATTTTTTATAGGTACGCCCCAATGAGAAAATGACACGTACCAAATTTCATATTCATACAATTTGTATAAAAAATTAAAAATAAAATACTTTGAGACGTCGGATCTAAGATCAAACGGTAAATGGCTCTCTTGATAAAAATTGGACGGTTGGATGGTAGGGGGGATAGAACTTCTATGTTGTAGGGGAAGCATAGAAACCTTTCCCTTTTCTTTTCGGATACGGTATATATCCATTCAAAAAAGAAAAGAATGAGAAACATGAAATTTTCAAGTAATCAAAAAATAAAAATAAAAACATGAAATTTTTCGATACGAAATATGCTTCCTTGAAGGCCTCTTGTATACTCTTCCATATATATATATGCTACCCGAACTTCTATATGAGCGCTAGAGTTTGTTCTTTCAACCACTTGGTTGCGATTTCAATGGCCACATCTTTTATTTTGATTTTTTATGTTTTTTGAGGTATAGCATCTTTTATTTTCTTATTAACCTTTAAAATAGTAAGCTACGGATCATTATTATATTACCCAACCATTTGGGTGGAGAAATTAAATTGAGAAAAGAAAATCAATTGAACAACAGGAATATTTGAAAATGAGGAAAACAAATTGAACAAAACAAATATGCGAGTCGGTCGGCCGAGTCTCAGTAACTCGGACGAGTTCATGTCATACTTAGAAAAAAAAAAATGGGAATAATAAAAGTAATCAGTTTTCTTTGGGTAAATAGTAATAAGGTTTATATATATAATAAGATGCCGATACCTTTCATCAGTAATCATGTAGTGTATTGGTATAACATTGTGTCTCCTCAACAAGAGGATGAGAGACGTGCATAATAGCTATGAATAAGGTAGTGAATATATATATATATATATATATATATATATATATATATATATATATATAACTACTACTAC